ATGAAATTGTACGTCAAACTTGACAAATAGGTTATAAAGTTATTTGACGACAAGGTTTTATAACCTATTTGTCAAGTTTGACGTACAATTTCACAGCCGACTACCGAATTTTCGATGATTTTAAGCAGCATTAACGAAATACGTGTCTTTAGTTATTTGAATTTTATAGTTTATGATAAGATATGAAAACATTGGTGTAGGATTATAAAAATTTCCCGAAAAAATTGTCTAGGCATAAAATCTTCATACAAAAAATCTAGGCATAAATTGAACAGGGGTGGTTACGTTTAGTAGTTTAGAAGGGTAGGTTGAAAGTACAAATAGGGTCAAAACGTGTCCTATTATGAGTTAAACATATACCCCAAATTTCATATTCCTAGCGTTTATGGTTTTTGAGAAAAAAAAAATAAACCAAAATTTTTCGCCATTTTTGGAGGGGTGTAGCTCCTGAAGGGAGCCGAAGTCGCCCATAGTTCATATATCAAAGTACCCTTAAAATTCACTAAAGAATCACCCCTTAAATTTTGTTGCAGTCATTCAGATACAGCCTGTATATAAACGTAAAATCCATTGTTTAAAAAAATCGTACCATCGTTGCATTTTTAAGAACTAAGAGACAATTTATATCTTAAATTGAAGCTAAAAGCTTGCAGTTTATAATAAGATATAAAAACGTTTATGTATGATTATAAAAATTTCCCGAAAAAAGTGTTTAAGTGAGAAAGTGTTGAATTTATATATAAACGCAACATCAATTTTTTTTTAAATCGTACCAACTGCATTTTTAAGAGTTAAGAGACGATTTGTATCTTAAATTGAAGCTAAAAGATTGCAGTTTATGATAAGATATTAAAACATTGATGTAGGCTTATAAAAATTTCCCGAAAAAAGTGTTTAAGTGAGAAAGTGTTGAATTTATATACAGGGTGAATCAGAAAGAATGGGAAATCTGAATACCGGAGATACTAGACAACAAAATATGACGATTTAACTTAACATCTCTTATACAAATGTCGGTGGTTTTCAAGGCACAGAGTGTTGAGTTAAATTCTTATTTCGAAATTTCTTGATAATTTTAAAGCTTTTTGTACTATTACCATAAAATTTGGTAGTTATATGTTTTCGAGCATGAGAAATACGAATTTGATATTTGTTTTGTGATTACTCGTAGATGGCGCTAGATACACACTGCACGTTTAAGATATCAAGTCATGACTATTTTGTCAGTTGAGGTATGGTGAATTAGAACCAGAAATCTGAAGGAGCTTTCAATTCTACACAAAAAAGGTAGTCTTGCTTACATTGTCTAAGTCTACTGGTTTCCAAGTTATCTGCTTTTAATTTTCTCAAAGTAATTTTAAGTTTAACATCTAAAATCAATAACACGCACTAACTTTAGCAATTAGTAACGATAATAATCGATAACAATAACAATTAATTAATAACAATAGAATGTGACAATATTCAAAAATCCAGTGGATTTAAGTCTAGATATCTCACTATTAGAAAATTCATTACAGTAAACTCTCGATATAACGAACACGAAAGGAAGAAAGCAAACCGTTCGTTATAATGAGATGTTCGTATTTGCGAAATAACGAATGATAATGGGTAGGTTCTAGGAGTAGGTTTACGTAAACATATTAGCGTCGACTGTGTAATAAGTTTTATATAATAAGTACGTTATATCATAATAAACATTATTTTTTTTTTTTAAATAATCACTATCACCGTTATCTTTGGATTGTATAGAGAGCGCCTAAAACTTTAGCTCTTGAAGGTGGTATTATATTAACTTCCTTCATCGTGTTCTTCGCCTTCTTCTTTTTCTCCGGATTCTTGGTCTACATTTACTACTGCTAAGTCTATACTACTGTTTCTGTAGTCGTTATCGCACCATCAACGCTGACGTAATCATTAAAACTAACTTGCATCGGTTGAACTGATAAGATTTGTTGATAATTGTCCCATTCTACATCAGCAAATTGAGCCTATCAATGATTAAATCATATAAGTAAAAAGCTACTAACGAGCTACACCACGAATCTGACAACGCTCTTATCGCTTGTAAAGCCTTTCTTTTGCCAAAAATGCTGCTTTCTTACATAGAACTAGAAACATTCGGGTTTAGCCGCACGTCTCTCAAGACGGCTAAACCCGAATGATTCTAGTTCTATATCTAGTGTTAGTTATAGTTTTAACTCTTTATTTCTTGAGTTTAATAACACTTGTTTAGTGTTTAAATAATTATTAATACAAATATTATTGATATAAATGATAGTGAATAGTAGAATGATAGTATAATGATAGTGCCAGTGTAAAACTAGAAAAATTCGGGTTTAGCCGTCTTGAGAGACATGCGGCTAAACCCGAATGATTCTAGTTCTAAGTCTAATCTTAGTTCTATTTCAGTAAAAATAGACAACAATTTAACGCTTAGTAACAACTAAACTAGAACTAACACTAGACCTAGAACTAGAAAAATTCGGGTTTAGCCGTGCGTCATCAGACACAGAAATTTTTCTAGTTCTAGGTCTAGTGTTAGTTCTAGTTTTAGTGCAATAAAAATATACAACATAGTGATATCTAACAACATCATGTTCGGACTCATTTTAATGGTTGTTTTAATAAAGAATACATCATGAAAGAACACCATGAAGTTGTCCAATTGTCTATTATATGATAACTAACTTCAGATTTAAAATGTCAACCTCAATTTTGACATATTTATAATCTTCATTAAAAATCCTTTAAAATAAGTACAAACACGACATATTTATCTTCAACATTAATGAAGTTATGGTCAATTTTCGGTTACAAATGTCAGCGTCAATTTTGACATATTTGTAATCGTCGTGAAAAATCATTTAAAATGAAAAACACGATACGTTTAATTCCAATATTAGTTGAGATATAAGCAACTTCCGGTTTGAAATGTCAATGTCATTTTGACATATTCATAATTTTTATAAAATGTCTTAATATTTGTCACAAAAATATAATAAAAAATATAAAAAATTAAGGTTGGTACTAATATTTAAAAATTAAATTGCTATCTTCATTGTTGCTAACTTCGGGTTTAATGTTTTTTATTTTAACTTTTTTGATTTTTGAGATAAGTGCGTCATCTTTGGACTCATTTTAAAGGTTTTTTAATGAAGATGACAAATATGTAAAAATTGACGTTGACGTTTCAAACCGAAAGTGATTGTATTTCCATTAATATTAAAGTTAGATATGTCGAGTTTGGACTCATTTTAAAGGATTTTTTATGAACTTGACAAATATGTCAAAATTAAAAGCTGAGAGTTCGATTTTTTTGGTTTTTTGAGATAAATGCGTCAAGTTTGGACTCACTTTAAAGGTTATTTTATGAAGATTACGAATATAATAATAAAATTAAAATTGACATTGACAACTGAAAGTTTTCAGACTTTTCTAAGTTCTTGTCTAAGACGCCCGGCTAAACCTAAAACTTTCTAGTTCTAGGTCTAGTGTTAGTTCTAGTTTTAATTGTTATTTAATCCTAAATTCTTGTACATTTTATTTGATCTAAAAAAATTTTTTTTGATTTAATCCACTTACCTTGCTTATAATTTCATCCATTTACCCATTTTGAATTAAATACAATCTTTAAATCCAATTAATTATGTGTTTTTCATTAAAAAAAACTTAAATTCAACGTCAATTTTGACAAGCAACTGCAATATTTGGATTTTAATCACCATGGTAACCGAGTCAAGTTGGATAACCTTAAAATAATAAAATTTTATTCCGATTTTTTATCAATTCTAACCTAATTACAAATATCTTTTTTCGATTTAATCCACTTACCTTGTTTATAATATCCTAAATAAACCAATTTTGAGTTAAATACAGCCTTTTAAACCAATTAAATAACACTTTTTCCTTAAAAAAACTTAAATTCAATTTCAATTTTGACAAGCACTTGTAATATTTAGATCTTAATCACCATGGTAACCCTTAATATTTCGCTTTATATTTTAATATTTTTTTAATTTAATTTAATTTTTGTATATTGCTTCTTAAGTGAAGTACACTGTATAAATAAAAACATAGACGTCACAGCAAGGCCTTTGCAGTATGTTTACCGCTCCAGGGATCTTTGATAGGAGAACTTGGGACTGATTGTATGTCGAAATCCCCCCGTAAGATGGTATTAGCGTCTATACTGAAATAATTTAATTAAACTAACAATTTTATTATTAATAGTGGAAATGATGAGAGATAGCAATAACAATTATTACCAGTATCATTCTTTTAATTTAAAAAGTATAGATTTCAAATCGTGTTATATTTTTAAATTTGCCGCTAACTTCACCTTTTAAAAGTTAAGTTTGTTCAGAATGACAGATGAAAACGTCATTTTAAAGTGATTTTTCGGTAAGAGTATAATTAATAAAATAATAATGGTATGATTAAACAATTAGATTATAATTAACACACATTAACTGGTTGGAAGCTCGTCAGATGCAATCTCACATGTCATATGATGCAGTAATATTCAAATGTGGTGGCATTATTTGACATGTGTAATTGCCATAGGTAATTGCATCTGAGGAATTTCCAACCAGTCAGAACGTTAAGTGGAGCCACATAGTGGCTCCAAATACTTTCCAAACAGTTATTCTGTGGTTGGAGCTTTTATATATAAACCCAATCCAACTGTATTCTAGTGGTTCGGTTCTTAGCTGAATAATTCCAAAATATCCCCAACAGATGGTGCTACATGCGTTCCATTTATAACAACAATTACAATAATGTTATGATTTGATTTATCAAACGAGCAATGTGTATCTAGCGCCCTCTACAAGCAATAACAAAACAAGTTTCAAATTCGTATTTTTCATGCTCGAAAACATAAAACTACCAAATTTTATGTTAATAGTATAACAAGATTCAAAATTATTAAAAAATTTCGAAATAAGAATTTTTCGATAAAAATGATAATTTATTAGGAACAATAATTAAACAACGAATTTGTTTATTAGACGGTATTTATTTAGACCACAACATCGAATATATCAACACATCATTTTTCTTAACGCTTTAAAGACATTAACAGACAACAGCACTAATCACATTTTCAGATAGAATCGAACACACAAAGATATGTTTAATAAAAAAATAATAAAAAAATTGGCAACTCTAGAAGACAATTATTTTATTTTTAGTCTTACCGGATCTTCGGCGCAATCAACCCTTTCAACATATCGAAAGAATTCCCATCCGGTTGAACAGAACTCACCCCATCCTTCGATTTAACCCTCAAATAACCAAAATTATCGATCCCAATTACCTTTACCTTTCTTAAGTGGTTATCTTCCGTTCTCACAGCGATTTCCGCGTCACTAATAAATTAGTTTTTGTGCTTTTTTTAAATAAAAATATATTAATCACTTACTTATGGAGCCAATATTTGTAATATAACTCATAAAAATAGTCCATATTTCCTTGGTTATCGATAACGTTTAAAATACGTTCTAATTCATTAAAAACTAAAGCGAAATATTTTTCGAATGGAATTTTAGGTAATTGGGTATTAAAGTCTTTGTTGTAACGATCGATTATGTCGTTGATGCAAGTGGTGGGGTTAGAATTATCTAAGTTGACCCCACAACCAACATTGAGTACTGCTAAGTCTTTATAAACTTGGGTGTTGACGATTAAACCACCAATTTTTATTTTTGAGTAGCTATATAAATCGTTGGGCCATTTCAAACCGATTTCTAACCTCTAAAATTATTACTAAATTAATCTTAATTAAAAAAAAAATTATTTATTTACTTCATATCCAACTTGAGATCGCAAAGCTGAAACGATTGCGACCATAACAATGTGTTGCATTAAAGGAAGCGATTTTCCGATTGTTCCGTTTAAATCAATATGGAGTTGTAAAGAAAACATCGCTGATCCTAATGGGCTTAACCAAACGTTTTGGGAGCGACCTATTTAATTAATAAATTAATTAATTAAAGTAATACTAATTTATGCAAAGATAGCCCCCAATTAGATAGCAACAAAATTCCACTATTTTGAATGATCCTCGATATCTATGCATCTGAGAGCAAAAGTGTAAAAGAACAATATTGTTAAGATGAAAATTTGCTACAATTTTTGTTCTAAAACTTTTTCTGTAAAACATTCGCAACTCCATGCGCTACCAACAACAAAGTGTAAAATTCCGATTTCACTTTTTCAAATTTTTCTCGATATCTATGCATCTGAGAGCAAAAATGTAAGGGAGCAATATTGTTTACAAGAAAATTTAGTACAACTATTGTTCTAAAACTTTTTCACTAGCATATTGTCATTTCCGTGCGCTACCAACAATAAACTGTAAATTTACAATTTCACCAAAATTTCACTTTTTCGAATTTTCCTCGATATTGATGCATTTGACAACAAAAATGTAAGAGAGCAATATTGTTAAGACGAAAATTTACTGCAACTTTTGTTCTATCTCTGCGCTATCAACAACAAAGTGTAAAATAACAAATTTATCAAAATTTTACATTTTCAAATTTTCCTCGTTATCTATGCATCTGATTATGAGAGCAAAAATGGAAGAGAGCAATATTGCTTACAAGAAAATTTAGTACAACTATTGTTCTAAAACTTTTTCTCTAACATGTTGTCATCTCCGTGCGCTACCAACAATAAAGTGTAAAATTACGATTTCATCAAAATTTCACTATTTCGAATTTTGCTCGATACTGAAAGATTTTAGAGCAAAAGTGTAAAAGAGCAATATTGTTAAGAAGAAAATTTGCTACAACTTTTGTTCTAAAACTTTCTGTCTAAAACGTTCGCATACCCGTGCGCTACCAACAACAAAGTGTAAAATAACGAATTCATCAAAATTTCACATTTTCAAATTTTCCTCGTTATCTATGCGTCTGAGAGCAAAAATGTAAGAGAGCAATATTGTTTACAAGAAAATTTAATACAACTATTGTTCTAAAACGTTTTCTCTAACATGTTATCATCTCCGTGCGCTATCAACAACAAAGTGTAAAATTACAATTTCATCAAAATTTCACTTTTTCGAATTTTTCTCGATATTGATGCATCTGAGAACAAAAATGTAAAAGAGCAATATTGTTAAGAACAAAATTTGCTACAACATTTGTTCTAATACTCTTTCTCTAACATGTTGTCATCTCCGTGCGCTACCAACAATAAAGTGTAAAATTGCAATTTCATCAAAATTTCAGTTTTTCTAATTTTCCTCGATATTGATGCATCTGAGAACAAAAGTGCCAAAGAGCAATATTGTTAAGAAGAAAATTTGCTACAACTGTTGTTCTAAATCTTTTTCTCTAAAACGTTCGCATCCCGTGCGCTACCAACAACAAAGTGTAAAATTACGAATTCATCAGAATTTCACATTTTCAAATTTTCCTCGTTATCTGTGCATCTGAGAGCAAAAATGTAAGAGAGCAATAAAGTTTACAAGAAAATTTAGTACAACTATTGTTCTAAAACTTTTTCTCTAACAAGTTGTCATCTCAGTGCGCTACCAACAATAAACTGTAAATTTACAATTTCACCAAAATTTCACTTTTTCGAATTTTCCTCGATATTGATGTACCTGACAACAAAAATGTAACTGAGCAATATTGTTAAGAAGAAAATTTGCTACAACTTTTGTTCTAAAACTTTTTCTCTAAAACGTTCGCATCCCCGTGCGCTACTAACAACAAAGTGTAACGTTACGAATTCATGAAAATTTCACTTTTTCAAATTTTCCTCGTTATCTATGCATCTGAGAGCAAAAATGTAAGAGAGCAATATTGCTTACAAGAAAATCTAGTACAACTATTGTTCTAAAATTTTTTCTCTAACATGTTGTCATCTCCGTGCGTTATCTACAATAAAGTGTAAAATTACGATTTCATCAAAATTTCACCTTTTCGAATTTTCCTCGATATTGATGCATCTGAGAACAAAAGTGTAAAAGAGCAATATTGTTAAGAAGAAAATTTGCTACAACTTTTGTTCTAAAACTTACTCTCTAAAAAGTTCGCATCCTGGTGCGCTACCAATAACAAAGTGTAAAACTACGAATTCATCAAAATTTCACATTTTCAAATTTTCCTCGTTATCTATGCATCTAAGAGCAAAAATGTAAGAGAGCAATATTGTTTATAAGCAAATTTACCACAACTTTTGTTCTAAAACTTTTTCTCTAAAACGTTCGCATCCCCTTGCGCTACTAACAACAATGCGTAAAATTACAAATTCATGAAATTTTCACTTTTTCAAATTTTCCTCGATATTGATGCATCTGACAGCAAAAGTATAATAGAGCAATATTGTTCAGAAGAAAATTTGCTACAACTTTTGTTCTAAAACTTTTTCTCTAAAACGTTCGCATCCCCGTGCGCTTTTAACAACAAAGTGTAAAATTACGAATTTATGAAAATTTCACATTTTCAAACTTTCCTCGTTATCTATGTATCTGAGAGCAAAAATGTAAGAGAGCAATATTGTTTACAAAAAAAATTTAGTACAAGTATTGTTCTAGAACTTTTTCTCTAAAACATTTAGAACCTCGTGCGCTACCAACAACAAAGTATAAAATTACAATTTCATCAAAATTTCACTTTTTCAAATATTTCTCGATATTGATGCATCTTAGAGCAAAAATGTAAAAGAGCAATATTGTTAAGAAGAAAATTTGCTACAACTTTTGCTCTAAAACTTTTTCTCTAAACCGTTCGAAACCCCGTGCGCTACCAACAACAAAGTCTAAAATTACAATTTCATCAAAATTTCACTTTTTCGAAATTTTCTCGATATTTAAGCATCCGAGTGCAAAAGTGTAAAAGAGCAATATTGTTAAGAAAAAAATATGCTACAATTTTTGTTTTAAAACTTTTTCTCCAAAACATTCAGAACCCTGTGCACTACCAACAACAAAGTGTAAAATTACGATTTTATCAAAATTTCACTTTTTCGAAATTTTCTCGATATTTAAGCATCCGAGTGCAAAAATGTAAAAGAGCAATATTGTTAAGAAAAATATATGCTACAATTTTTGTTTTAAAACTTTTTCTCTAAAACATTCAGAACCCTGTGCGCTACCAACAACAAAGTGTAAAATTACGATTTTATCAAAATTTCACTTTTTCGTATTTTCCTCGATATTGATGCATCTGAGAGCAAACGAGTAAAAGAGCAATATTGTTAAGAAGAAAATTTGCTACAACTTTTGTTCTAAAATTTTTTCTCTAAAACGTTCGCATCTCCGTGCGCTACCAACAACAAAGTGTAAAATTACGAATTTATCAAAATTTGACATTTTCAAATTTTCCTCGTTATCTATGCATCTGAGAGCAAAAATGTAAGAGAGCAATATTGTTTACAAAAAAATTTAGTACAAGTATTGTTCTAAAACTTTTTCACTAACATGTTGTCATTTCCGTGCGCTACCAACAATAAAGTGTAAAATTACGATTTCATCAAAATTTAACTTTTTCGAATATTTCTCAGTATCTATGCATATGAGAGCAAAAATGAATGGAGCAATATTGTTAAGAAGACAATTTGCTACAACTTTTGTTCTAAAACTTTTTCTCTAAAACGTTCGCATCCCGTGCGCTACCAACAACAAAGTGTAAAATAACGAATTTATCAAAATTTCACATTTTCAAATTTTCCTCATTATCTATGCATCTGAGAGCAAAAATGTAAGAGAGCAATATTGTTTACAAAAAAATTTAGTACAAGTATTGTTCTAAAACTTTTTCTCTAACAAGTTGTCATCTCCGTGCGCTACCAACAATAAAGTGTAAGATTCAAATTCATCAAAATTTCACATTTTCAAATTTTCCTCGTCATCTATGCATCGGAGAGCAAAAATGTAACAGAGTAATATTGTTTAAAAGAAAATTTAGTACAACTATTGCTCTAAAACATTCTCTAACATGTTGTCATCTACGTGCGCTACCAACACTAAAGCGTAAAATTACAATTTCATCAAAATTTCACTTTTTCGAATTTTCCTCGTTATCTATGCATGTAAGAGCAAAAATGTAAGAGAGCAATATTGTTTATAAGCAAATTTACTACAACTATTGTTCTAAAACTTTTTCACTAACATGTTGTCATTTCCGTGCGCTACCAACAATAAAGTGTAAAATTACAGTTTCATAAAAATTTCACTTTTTCGAATTTTTTTCAATATCTATGCATATGAGAGCAAAAATGTAAGAGAGCAATATTGTTAAGAAGAAAATTTGCTACAAGTTTTGTTCTAAAACTTTTGCTCTAAAACGTTCGCATCCCCGTGCGCTACCAACAATAAAGTCTAAAATTACAATTTCATCAAAATTTCACTTTTTCGAATTTTCCTCAATATTGATGTATCTGAGACCAAAAGTGTAAAAGAGCAATATTGTTAAGAAGAAAATTTGCTACAACTTTTGTTCTAAAACTTTTGCTCTAAAACGTTTGTATCCCCGTGCGCTACCAACAATAAAGTGTAAAATTACGAATTTATCAAAATTTCACTTTTTCAAATTTTCTTCGTTATCTATGCATCTGAGAGCAAAAATGTAAGAGAGCAATATTGTTTACAAGAAAATTTAGTACAACTATTGTTCTAAAGCTTTTTCTCTAACAGGTTGTCGTCTCCGTGCGCTACCAACAATAAAGTGTAAAATTACAATTTCATGAAAATTTCAATTTTTCGAATTTTCCTCGATATTGATACACCTGAGAACAAAAATGTAAGAGAGCAATATTGTTTATAAGCAAATTTACTACAACTATTGTTCTAAAACTTTTTCTCTAACATGTTGTCATCTCCGTGCGCTACCAACAATAATGTCTAAAATTACAATTTCATCAAAATTTCACTTTTTCAAATTTTCCTCGACATTGATGCATCTGACAACAAAAATGTAAGAGAGCAGTATTGTTAAGAAGAAAATTTGCTACAACTATTGTTCTAAAACTTTTTCTCTAACACGTTGTCATTTCTGTGCGCTACCAACAATAAAGTGTAAAATTACAATTTCACTTTTTCGAATTTTCCTCGATATTGATGCATCTGACAACAAAAATGTAACTGAGCAATATTGTTAAGAAGAAAATTTGCTACAACTTTTGTTCTAAAACTTTTTCTCTAAAACGTTCCGAATCCCATGCTTTACAAACAACAAGATAATCTAAATTAAAAATCCCATTTAATTAGGGGCTAACTTCGCATAATTCGCTGTGTTACTAACCCACGCCGGATGTTTGTTGTCTTGGTATAACAACTAACCCATGAACTAATTTTTGAGATAAAACATCTTGAGAACTCGTTAAAACATCGCTATAAATAACTAAACGCCCGATTTCTTTCGTGTTTAAAGTCTCGAAATACTCGATGGTGGAGAAATTTGATGGGCATGATAAAACCATGATGGGGAGGCGAGATGATGTTGCGTGACCCGGTTCGTCGTCTTTCCAACAAAAAATTAAGCTTAATTTTTCTCCGTTTAAACGATTTTCACGGACGTTTTCGTTCTCTTTCAGCATTTGAAGCTTCATCTAATTACATTAAATAAAAATTAATTACAAGCATAGAATTAATTTGATACCTTACATCATGTCTTCCCAAAAAATAACCCTCGGTGTATTTAACATCGCTTTTCCCCGCATCATCGCAATTAACTCCTAATTCATTGGTTAATATATGTTTTAAAATATCTAACCGGGCCGAATTGCTTTCTTTTAACGCTTCATATTTGGATTCGTCGTCTTGATACTGATCGGGGTCGACCTCTAAATGGACTTGGGAGAAAATCGCGCGCCCCGCTCCGTTTTTAATCGTCGCTAAAAGCAAGCTGGGGGTTTGCCACGTCTCTTCAGTTCCCAAAATTTTAACTTGCACCGTGTAATTAACACCGTTATGAACGATCTCAACGGTTGATGGAGTTCTTGGGGCGATCGGGCTCGAAGTTTCAGCCCCCCCATCGCCGCTGCTATGATTCGAGTGATCCGAGTCTTTCGAAAATTGCTTTTTCGCCGGGGATGCTTGGTAACAAAAGATGTGGTGCATCATTTTTATTTGTTTCCAATCGGAGTAAGAGAAACGAACGAGTTCGTGTTCTCTAACCTAAAGAATTAAATTAAATTATTAATAATTAAAATATAAAGGGAAGGAGTTAAATTTACCTCGGCTGTTGAGAACGTTTGCAAAACGCTGTATAAAAGGTCGCTGCATAAACACAAAAGTTGCCCCCCGTTAACTAAGTATTGCAATAATTCGTGGGTTAAAGCGGGAGTTACGTTTCCGCAAATTACAACGAGGGTTGTGGAGTCGTCCCAAAGATCGCAAGGTTTATTTAGGGGTAAATCATAAATTGTATATCTGAAAATAATATATGTATATAATTTAAACTCCAAAAAGTTTAATGATTCAATTCGTAAATGTTTAGGAAAAATTTTTTTTAAATATTTATACAGTATGTCCCCGGATCGAGTTACAAAGAGGAAAAAAAATTTATTTCTGATTTTTCAAACTTATCTCAGCATAAATAATGCGTCGGATATGTTCAAACCACTAAATCGCACGAACTTTATATTCTAACTATAGAAGTTAACTAATTATTCCCATTTTTATGTAAAAATTATACTTTTCCTAAATTAAAAATTTTATCGCCAACCGGCAGCAAAACCATAGTTTATGCTATCCATTTGCGGTAGTAAAATGACACTTTGTGCTACTATCTAGTAAACTGTGCATTTAGCGGCAGACAATAATATATTAAAAAACAAGTTTCGTAAGACACGCTTGAAATGCACGAATTAAAGTTGAAAAACGAGTGGCGAAGCTACGAGTTTTTTAATGAATGACTGCTTTAAGTCTTATGAAACGTGTTTTTTATGCTATTTTTTGTAATTCGCGTTTTTATCCTTTTTTTTAAAACAATAATAAAATAAATTTTGACAATATAGGGAAATAGGTATGCAGCAGTTGGTAACACCGTAACACTTGAAAATAGAAATTTGAATTGACAATTAGAAACTGTCAAAACACAAAATGTATTCACCTGACAAGAATGTTTCATGTACACCTTCCAAAATAATAGAAATTGCTCAGAGTTTAATGTCCTCATCATTGTGGACCTTGTATTCGATGCTAAGATCGTGTTTAAATATCCATAGACAACCATTGTCACATTGACAACTAAAGCGGGGCGGTCAGAAGATATAAAAGATCACTTGAAGTGTGCAAAACACAAGGCTAGTGTAATAGCACTTGCGAGCACTTCATCTATTAAAAAGTTTTTTAAGAATGATGATCCCATTCAGAATGATTTAAATATTGCAGCCAAAGAAGCCACGTTTGCTTTTCATACTGCGATGCATGATATGAATTTCAAAATATCAGATTGTAGATCGAAATTGATATCCAAATTTTTTGAGCCAAAATTTGGAGCTGCTAAAACTAAATGCGAAGCGATAATTTTAAATGTGATAGCACCTTTATCGATGGAGGAATTACATGATAACTTAGAGATGTTTACTATCGGCTTAAACAAGAACTTGGTATCAATATTGTCGGCATTGGTTGCGGTGCACATATTGTGCACAATACCCTTCAAAATGCTGTGGATGATCTCCCAATCGAAATAGAAACGCTTGTTGTCAAAATATATAAATATTTTCATATTTATACAGTTCGAGTCACTGAATTAAAAGAATTCTGCGAATTTGTAAATGTCGAATACAGAAAATACTTCAACATGGAAGTACTAGATTTCTGTCCTTATTACCGGCACTCGAAAGCATTTTGAATATATTCGAAGGACTAAAGTCGTACTTTCTTTCGCAAAAAAATTGCCCACGAGGATTACGTAATTTTTTTGACAGTGACACAGGGGAATTATATTTTAGATTTGTACACGGCCAATTGAATAATTTTAATAAAACTGTATTACACATGGAAAAAGATAAAGCTAGCGCATCCGACATTATTTTAGAACTGAAACAATTAAAATTTAATCTTCAGGAAAGGATGGATAACGACTTATTCCCGTTAGGAGCAAAACTGTTGCTGCGAAAACTTGATGGTAGCCAAGATGTCAATAAATTTATGACGGAAGTAACTGCTTTTTATAGAAGATGTCTTTCATACATTGAATTGTGGGAAGACAGTTTTGGTGGTGCTGATATTTTTGCATGGGTTGGATTGCAACATGTATTGAAATGGGATGACATTGAACAATCTGCTGAAACTGTTAATGCAATACACGGTGTAAATGATCATCAGAAAATTAATAGTGATGATCTCTTTGACGAGGTGTTGCTTACTAAAGCATTTTTTGCGTCACATAACGAAGAGTGGAGTACAACAACAGCCCAAATTGAGTATGTTGACAAATGGGTTCAATTATTCAAACATTTTCAGGCACAACATGTTGATGCACCTAATTTAGTCAAAATGTTGCAATACATTTTGTGTCTACCAGGAACGTCCGCACCTGTAGAGTGTGTTTTCTCGATAATGAAGAATTGTTGGTCGGATGATCGAGGCCGTATGTTAGAGGCTACAGTACGAGCGTTATTATACTGTAAATTTAACTTTTCAATTACTTGTAGCGATTTTTATGAAAAAATTAAAAATAATAAAATCTTAAAAATTATTAATATATTAAGATTAGCTGTCCCTCTTAAAAATCGATGAATTTTTTTTTAATCGGTAGGAAATGACTCAAAAGATGTGTTAATGATAAAAAAAAAGTGCGGAAAAGTGTAGTACTTACCGAAAAATCACTTTAAAGTTGCGATTTGACGTTTCTTTTTGGAAGTTAAAAGCAATGTTAAAATTGCATTTTCGTATTAAATTCTAACCTGAAATTGTTTAATTTATACCCACGCACAAAATAAAAAGTTATTTTCACTAAACTTGTTGAGATTACAACATATTTTCGGATGAAAACCTTGTTTCTTAGGCTATCGATGCAGAACGACAATTAAATGGCGTTAGATAGAATTGTTTCTACCAAATGTGTATTAATAGACTTTGTGTTAATGGATTGTGTATCAATTGATCTGTCAAATGACTGAAAGCTCTTTGCAATCTTTATGTTGTAAATATAAATGATAAATAAGTATAGTAGCTTATTTAATAGTAGTTTAGTTAAATTAAAATAGTTATTAAAAAAGACATGGTTACAAAATAAAAATAAATAAATAGCCCGTGTGACGATAGCAACAAACTGTGTATTTAACCAAATGACAATTACAACTGACAACACAAGCAATGTTAACCATGTATTTTCTCGTATTAAATCCTAACCTCAAATTGTTTAATTTATACCCACGCACTAAATAAAAAGTTATTTTCACTAAACTTGTTGAGATTACAACATAATTATTCATAATGACACCTATGTGAAGTTAGCCCCCAATTAAACAGAATTTTACATGTATAGTATTTTAATTATAACATGAGAACCAGTGAACCGATTTCGATAAACAATGTCTCATTCGAAAGCTTAATCCTTGGCCAATACGAAAGTGGAAATGCCCGATTGACGATGTGACGATAGCAACGATAGCAACAAACCTTCCAACAACAAATTTTTATCCGCAATTTCCTATCTATTTTATTAGCTGATATCTTTCTTATTATTAGATATAGCAGAACACTAAATGCACCATATGAAAGCTTGATTCTTTCTTTATGAAATCGTCGGTCCTCGTTTGCCGATATGTTAATATTAAAATCAATAAAAGATGAAGAACACCGCTCTGTACGTAAAATAGCTTAATATTACCAAACTTCAAGCCCTTGTGCAATTGTTATCAAACCGAATTTTAAAAAACTGTGTTCACAATCAGAAAGAACGCTCCTTCAAATATCTTAATCCGGGTTTTTGTTGGTCAATATCAATTAGCATCATGGTTAAATCACCTTTAATATACATCTCTATATACAGAAACGTTTAATTGCTCTACCTCTAAACAACTTTCTTACATATTTGATATGAGGAAAACTATAGAAGTATATCATGAAGTTATAGACTTACACAAGGACGTTTTTGGTCAAAAAATTACCAAATTCACACGTTTTAGCTACTTTTAAACATTGTTGGGATCAATAACTTTCTTATATCACCAGGAAAAAACTCTATAACCAAGCAGCGATAGCCGCGTGTTATACACCATTAGAAAGAGCAGCAAATTGTAGATAAGATAGATCTATACTTCTATAGTTTTCCCAATATCAAATAAGAAACTTGTTTAAAGGAATAGTAATTAAACGTTTTTGCGTGTAGGGATGTATATTAAGGGCGATTTAAGCATGACGCCGATAGACCCATTTACCAACGAAAACCCGGGTTAAGATATAATAAATTTAAAGAGCGCTCTTTCCGAGTGTGATAATAGTTTTTTAAAAATCGGTTTGATAACAATTGCACAAAGGCTTGAAGTTTGGTAATTTTAAGCTATTTAATCTAAGTACAGAGCCATCGCTTTGTAGTTTAAGTACAGATTGATCTTAGTATTAACTTATCGACAGACAAAGACCGGTTTTAGATAGAGAAAGAATCTCTAATTATTATCTCGAATTATCTCTAATAATAAGAAAGACATCAGCTAAGAAAGTAGATAAAAAATTACGGATACAAGTTTGTTGCTATCGGACAAATGTGGAGGAGGCTGAAAACTAGAAACATAAAACTATAGAAAATTCCAATATTTTTCAGCACCACATAAAGACTGAACATAATATAAATTATGGAGGAGTTGAGCTATTTCATTCGTGTAACAAATTATAAAGATAATAATAACTATCTACTTATGAATGAACAAGTTCAACTTTCTCATAAACCCATCTTACGTCATACACCCTACGTTATGAACTTTTGATGTTAAAACTTTGTAACTACGAAAGGGATTTTCATCAATAATAAGTGTTATTAAGTTCCAAAATAACGTTAAACTAACTAATAATTATCCTAATTATAATATTTAAGTGGTTTGAAGTCTTTGACACTTCAGAAAATATATGACCGCCATCTATCAATAATTTATTAAGTCATTTAATAATAATATTTGTCCAAGACTACCTTATAATATATACCTTATGAATGAGTTTTCTAAAACAAAAGGGTAGTCATTTTTCACGGAGAGAATAATAGCGGTGAATAATAATCATTATTCACGGATAGGTAGCCATCTTGACCAGACTAATAATAATTATTTGAAACGTTAAAAGTTCAAAAAACGTCAATTTAATTCAATTTTTTAGGAGTTTCTAAATGTTTAACATTAAAAAACCTAAACAAATTCCTTTTTTTGTATGATTTAAGCATAAATTAATTAATTTTCGTAAAGAAAACGACGTTTTATAAAACTGACACTTAATTTTGACAAATTGTTGTGAAGTTGGTTACAGTTACTAACATTGACGTTTAAACTTTATTTAAAAAATAAGTTTATGGAATTAATTTCAATAGTCGTGGACAAAGTATAGTATTCTACTCGCATATAACGAGCTATTATTCATATAGCCCTCATTATATGCTCATATAATAATATGCTATAAATATTAATAAAAAATGTGAAATAATGCAATCTATTCCAACTTTTGTGTAAAACAAATTTAATAGATTCTAAAAATCTATTTGAAATGTTTATAATCTGTTATCGCATTTAAATAGAGAGCATGAGAGTTAAATAAAAATTTGTTATTAAAAGACTTCAAACCACTTAAATATTATAATTAGGATAATTATTAGTTAGTTTAACGTTATTTTGGAACTTAATAACACATATTATTGATGAAAATCCCTTTCGTAGTTACAAAGTTTTAACATCAAAAGTTCATAACGTAGGGTGAAATATTCGTCAAATCCTTTGGTCAAATCTGAAAGAGAAGAATAATAAACCTTATTTTGGAGAAATTCAAAAGATTAAGGTAGAAATGCAATTGATGGGTACTTGTGGGTGTGTAATGGGCACGTTTCCACTCGGAAACAAAAAAGATGGAAGGTGCTGTAAGGTTGTATCGTTTCGAAAAGGCAACTTTTTTGCATATTTTAAGTTACAAATCCATCGAATCCACCTGGCGTCATGCGAAGAGTAGTATGTCAACATCTGGCCGTACTAAAAGTCATCTCCCAGGAAATCTTGCCAGATATGTATATTTTCCACAAATCGTGCACAGCGAAGAAGCTTGATCTAATCCAACATTTGGGAAATTTTCGCTAGTTTAAACGTAAATTAACCTAACTCAAAATCCAATTTCTACACAAAATTCTTATTTGGGTGATATTACATCGATAAAAGCAAAATTGACGATTTTTAAGCAACATGTCTATTGTAAAATTATACGAAGATGGGTTTATGAGAAAGTTGAACTTGTTCATTCATAAGTAGATAGTTATTATTATCTTTATAATTTGTTACACGAATGAAAAAGCTCAACTCCTCCATAATTTATATTATGTTCAGTCTTTATGTGGTGCTGAAAAATATTGGAATTTTCTTTAGTTTTATGTTTCTAGTTTTCAGCCTCCTCCACATTTGTCCGATAGCAACAAACTTGTATCCGTAATTTTTTATCTACTTTCTTAGCTGATATCTTTCTTATTATTAGAGATAATTCGAGATAATAATTAGAGATTCTTTCTCTATCTAAAACCGGTCTTTGTCTGTCGATAAGTTAATACTAAGATCAATCTGTACTTAAACTACAAAGCGGTGGCTCTGTACTTAGATTAAATAGCTTAAAATTACCAAACTTCAAGCCTTTGTGCAATTGTTATCAAACCGATTTTTAAAAAACTATTATCACACTCGGAAAGAGCGCTCTTTAAATTTATTATATCTTAACCCGGGTTTTCGTTGGTAAATGGGTCTATCGGCGTCATGCTTAAATCGCCCTTAATATACATCCCTACACGCAAAAACGTTTAATTACTATTCCTTTAAACAAGTTTCTTATTTGATATTGGGAAAACTATAGAAGTATAGATCTATCTTATCTACAATTTGCTGCTCTTTCTAATGGTGTATAACACGCGGCTATCGCTGCTTGGTTATAGAGTTTTTTCCTGGTGATATAAGAAAGTTATTGATCCCAACAATGTTTAAAAGTAGCTAAAACGTGTGAATTTGGTAATTTTTTGACCAAAAACGTCCTTGTGTAAGTCTATAACTTCATGATATACTTCTATAGTTTTCCTCATATCAAATATGTAAGAAAGTTGTTTAGAGGTAGAGCAATTAAACGTTTCTGTATATAGAGATGTATATTAAAGGTGATTTAACCATGATGCTAATTGATATTGACCAACAAAAACCCGGATTAAGATATTTGAAGGAGCGTTCTTTCTGATTGTGAACACAGTTTTTTAAAATTCGGTTTGATAACAATTGCACAAGGGCTTGAAGTTTGGTAATATTAAGCTATTTTACGTACAGAGCGGTGTTCTTCATCTTTTATTGATTTTAATATTAACATATCGGCAAACGAGGACCGACGATTTCATAAAGAAAGAATCAAGCTTTCATATGGTGCATTTAGTGTTCTGCTATATCTAATAATAAGAAAGATATCAGCTAATAAAATAGATAGGAAATTGCGGATAAAAATTTGTTGTTGGAAGGTTTGTTGCTATCGTTGCTATCGTCACATCGTCAATCGGGCATTTCCACTTTCGTATTGGCCAAGGATTAAGCTTTCGAATGAGACATTGTTTATCGAAATCGGTTCACTGGTTCTCATGTTATAATTAAAATACTATACATGTAAAATTCTGTTTAATTGGGGGCTAACTTCACATAGGTGTCATTATGAATAATTATGTTGTAATCTCAACAAGTTTAGTGAAAATAACTTTTTATTTAGTGCGTGGGTATAAATTAAACAATTTGAGGTTAGGATTTAATACGAGAAAATACATGGTTAACATTGCTTGTGTTGTCAGTTGTAATTGTCATTTGGTTAAATACACAGTTTGTTGCTATCGTCACACGGGCTATTTATTTATTTTTATTTTGTAACCATGTCTTTTTTAATAACTATTTTAATTTAACTAAACTACTATTAAATAAGCTACTATACTTATTTATCATTTATATTTACAACATAAAGATTGCAAAGAGCTTTCAGTCATTTGACAGATCAATTGATACACAATCCATTAACACAAAGTCTATTAATACACATTTGGTAGAAACAATTCTATCTAACGCCATTTAATTGTCGTTCTGCATCGATACCCTAAGAAACAAGGTTTTCATCCGAAAATATGTTGTAATCTCAACAAGTTTAGTGAAAATAACTTTTTATTTTGTGCGTGGGTATAAATTAAACAATTTTAGGTTAGAATTTAATACGAAAATGCAATTTTAACATTGCTTTTAACTTCCTAAAAGAAACGTCGAATCGCAACTTTAAAGTGATTTTTCGGTAAGTACTACACTTTTCCGCACTTTTTTTTTATCATTAACACATCTTTTGAGTCATTTCCTACCGATTAAGAAAAAATTCATCGATTTTTAAGAGGGACAGCTAATCTTAATATATGCCACCTGTATATTTGTAAAAATACCTGTATCGTGTCAGTCAGTTAGTCGATTAAAAGTCTTGAAAAGAGCGTGAATTTCGTCGTTTTATTGAATACATCAAGTTATAAGTTTTGTTGAGTTTCGAGTGAAAAATTTTCGTTTAATTCGATAAGTATAAAACTTTCAATTTTTGAATATTCTAAACAGAGATGTTCCAAAAGTATTATAAAGTTGGATTCCTTCCCAAGCAAGTTTTTTCAAATTACAGTTCGAGTGTTGCGTGGAAAGCTATGTGGCAGAATCACTTAATCATAAATTGGAAGTATCGAATCAAATTTTGTATAAAGGCAAAATTTCTATTGAGGAGTAATCTAAACAACCAAAAAAGAAGTTAGACACTTAGTTTTAGAAGAGTTAGCCAGTGCATTATGTTTTCCAGTTCCAACTACATCAACTTCAGCCTCATTTAATGAAAATAAAAGAGAAATCTTTTTCAAAAAAGATGAGTTGTGTTTAATATTTATAAAAATAATGATTTAAGTTCTGCCATCAAGGATTAATAAATAAAGATTACTAGCGGAAAAAATAAATAATTATCTATCCCAATATAAATTAATAAACATATTAATTCAAAAATGCTTGCCTAATTAGACTAAACATAAATAGCAAAAATTAAAACGCGATAACACTGATATCAATGGGCAAATTTAAGTGTTGCAATTTAATATTATCAAGTTAAATTAAACCTTACCTCTCCTTATTTAATATCTCACCCAAAACATTTTTAACATTCTCTTTCGCCGCCAAACTATCTCCATAAACCAACACATTCGGCGGCTTCGTATTTCTCTTCGTATTCGAATTTTGCCGGGTAATCTCCCTTTCACTCGGAAATTTCACCATCACCTCACTCAACACACCCAAACTTTCCTTCCTCCTCTTAGAATCGATTTGAGCCAAACACAAATTCGGATCATCGTCTTCATGTAAACTATTCATTTTCTTTAAAGTTCCCGTCCGTTTTTTCCCACTTTTCTTTTTAACATCGTCATCATCCAATTTTTCTCTATTAATACTTTGATTTTGATGATGCGATTTCCGTTTTTCCTCCTTCGATTTACTCCGATCTCGCGATGATTTCGTTTTTGAGCGTTTATTGCAAACTTCGAGGGTGTCTTTATCGGAAATTGAGGTCGTTTCGTGTTTAATTGACGACTCTTTTTTGATGGGTTTAACCTCGGAAATTGGTAATTTTGATTTTGAACCGTTTTCAATCATTATTTTTGGACTAAAATTATTTTAATTTAATAAATAAAATTAATTTGATTTATTAAAATTACTTTGTGTTTAAAACTTTTTCGTTCAACTTCGAATAAATTTCTTTTAAGCTTTTAACGAATTCGTTCCAAGCGAGTTGATCGACCGAGTATTTTAATCGGACGTCGGAAGGAAAAATCTTGTTGAATTTAACTCTTGAAGGGCTCCCTTGCACGTCAACGGCTTTAAAAAACAATTTTAAATCAAATTAATTAATTAATTAAACTTACTTTCGATTTTAACAACTTTTAATTCATGGTTAATATCGACGTCGTTGTTCGAAAGGAAATGAACCAACTTCGTGACGTTATCCATATCGGTTTTAACAATGATATTCATGAAATCGTTTAATTTCCAAGCGATTAATTCCCCAAATCGTTCCAACTCGATTATTTCAGCTTGATGCGGAAGAAACTTTTCGAAATGAGTCGTTATCATTAAAAACAACTTGGGGTCATAAAGTCTCAAATTATTCTTTACGAATTGAATCGGAAAATTAAATTCGCTCCTTGGAAAAACGACCCAGGAAGATAAATTAATTCTTTGCTAAAAAAAATTAAATCAAAAATCGATAAATTTAACTAAAAGAAAGCTCACCCTAGGCACAACGGTGCAAGCGAATTTATCATCCCGATGATAAAGAAGATTCTCCAACGAGCGTTGATCGGAATCGAAAGAAATCGCGTTTCCCGAACACACCAAAAGCGCGTTTGAGCCGTTTAAAGTTCCCCGTAGCTTATTTTTTAAAGCGCCCAAACGCCACCATTGCGACAAAGTTGCGTACATATAAAATAAAGTGAAAAACATTTCTGATTAATCCCTCAAAAAACGCTTCTTAAACTTCCATGTTATCTAAAAATTAAAAACATTTCTTATCTAAGTAATTAAAATTTTAAAAAAATAAGTATTTAATATGTGCCAATGTCAGTTAACAAATTAATAAATTATTATTGATGTTTTTGAGTTAGGTCAGTGAATGGACGGAATAAATAATTTTATTTGTTGCTTATTCATGTTTTAATTAAAATTTAAGGCGACATAGAACGATTTATAAATAGAAAGAGTTCGAATCCTTTCGAGATCGTAAACAGTTTACTATCGATTCGAATTATTCCATAACAAATACAAGACTTAACGTTTAATAACGACCATTAACGTAAATTTTTTCGTTGATTATCCTACTTTTATTTTCTCTGATTCTATTCGCTTGGGTTGCTAAGAGATATAATAGTTTAGCATGGTAACAAAACGATATGAACCGTATTTAGCCCTATTATATAATAAATTTTATTAATATATTGCGTAATTCAATTTTAAATTAATATTGTTTACAACAAATTTTGATTCGAATAATTATTATTCATATATCTTCAAAAATATTGATTGATATACCAGTATACAGCTCCACCTGGAGGAGATATCGAAAATTTTTATTAAAATAATCGACCTCAAATCACATTATAAACAAATATTATAAGAAAAATTTGTTGATTCAAATAATAATTTGTTTTGATATTACCGTGATATACAGGGTGGTTCAGTTTTTAATAGGGAAACTTTACTAGGACGTAGTACTTTCCAAAAAAACACAAGTTTTTTATATAAACATAGAGTCGCAACTCTTTTGTTTTCGAGCTTTTCAAAGTTGAGCCAAAACCATACCTTAAGTTGAGCCATACCTTAAACTTCCCCAGCGCCCTCTAAGGAGATGAAATTCACAACCCCTTTGATTTTTTTATAACAACTTCTTAACACCATGGAATATTAACATAAAAAAATATGGGTTGTAAAATAATAGTTTTAGCGTAAAAAAATAAAATATGCTACATTGCACTGTAAAGCGCTATTATAAAAATTTTTTTTTCTTTGTAGGTGGCTATGGAAGTTGTGCACTTACTAGGATCTAGTACTAACTAAATAACACCAATTTATTGAGATTTTCATAAGAAAAACCATAAATAAAATTAATGCCTGTCTGAACAAATTACGTTGTTTTAAACAATATTAAAAAATTGATACTCTTGCTTAATAACCGTCAAAAGTTATTAATAACCAGCAATAATTATGAGGATTCACTGTAAATGAAATTTACAAGTTCTCAGAGCTGAACCACCCTCTATGTACAGGCTGTCCCAATTTCGATGTCCGCATAGGCTATCTCCGAAACTACAACAGATAGAAAAAAAGTAGCTTACATGTCATGATTTCGTTTTTCGAGAAAATGCTAATGCCGAAAACTCCGAACAGCTATCGTCTTTTGTTTTCGCCCTATCGGCAAAAACTGAAAATTTTGCGAAAACGACAATCGCGAATATCTCACTTATTATCAAAGATGGAGTATTATAAATAAAACATTATATGGGCAACTTTTTACGAAGAATTCAGTGGCGTAGGTAGAATTTTTTTCCCATCTTTTATTTTCGAGATTTTAGACGTAACTTTATTTTTTTAAATGGAAACCATAGTTGGCTATGACCTAAAATAATTTGTTATTTTCTTCTGATAACAAATATATATAGTTTGTGGGGTATATTTCTTATAGTTATTGAATAATTAACAAAAATTCATTTTGTTCTATCTAAAACTAATGTATGTATTTAAAAGTTAATGTTGCTATGGTGATAACCATACATACTATGATGGAACATAATGTATCAAATAATTGCCAAAGTTTGTATTTAAAAATTCGATAACAACTCTGGCATTATGTGCTGGTACGATGCACCAGCATGTTAAGTGTCAAAGTATAACAAAACTGAATAAAACTTTACAATGAATTTCGAAAATTATGAAAAATGTAACATGATGGAATGCTATATGTTATCAGATAAGAATGCGACGTTAGCCGCGGAATTTTATTTCACAAGATATCCAGAAAGAAGACAACCGCACGAAAAAACCTTCAGCCGATTAGCAGAAAATTTAATAGATATTTGGTCCTTCCCCAAACCACATACAAAAACATACCAAAATGACCTGCAAGAGAAATTGCAACAAGACGTCTGACCCAAAAGCCGCTGCTCCCGAATATGAAAGAAAAATAAGTATAAACCATACAAAGCGGGGCTAACTCATTATTTACGTGCCGGAGATGTCAATCGAAGATTAGAATTTTGTAGATGATATTTAAAAAAATTAAATAATCTGCTGTTTGTTCAAAATGTAATCTGGACCGATGAAGTCTCTGAGTGTTCAAAGAAGATTGGGGTTCAATGTATGGTGTGCCCTTTTAGATAATAGAATTTTGGCATATAGTATCTACCATAAAAACTTAAACTCAGGGAAATACCTCAATATATTAAGGCAGCACATTGAGCCTTTGGTCGACAATTTGCCACTAAATATGTCTCAAATGATATATTTTCAATATGACGGAGCACCAGCACATAATGCCAGAGTTGTTAGTGAATTTTTAAATACTACTACAAACTCAAGGACAGTAGAATCTAACAGGACTGCTACATCCATTGTTGTGACAGCCTACCCGCAAACTACGTCACACCATTTTCCACGCCTAGCTGTTGTTATGGTCTATGCGTTTGCTGTGTGTTTTTAGAGGTTATATCCTAGACGTATTCATATTAGTTTTGAAGTTTTATGTTTTTAGACGTATTAATGTCTATCATATAACCTCTAAAAACATAGACAGTTACCAGGCGTGGCAAATAGTGTGACGTAGAGTGCGGGCAACCAACCCGTAGTCGACTACAAAAATACAATGGATGTAGCAGTCCTGTTAGATTCTACTGTCCTTGCTACAAACTTTGCCAATAATTGGAAACAATGCTTTCCCTCATGGTATGGTTATCACCATAACAACATTAAGTTTTAAATACATACAATAGTTTTAGAAAGAACAAAAAAAATTGATACATTATATTCCATCATAGTATGTATGGTTATCACCATAGCAACATTAACTTTTAAATACATACATTAGATTTAGATGGAACAAAATGAATTTTTGTTAATTATTCAATAACTATAAGAAATATACCCCACAAACTATATATATTTGTTATCAGAAGAAAATAACAAATTATTTTAAGTCATAGCCAACTATGGTTTCCATTTAAAAAAATAAAGTTACGTCTAAAATCTCGAAAATAAAAGATGGGAAAAAAATTCTACCTACGCCACTGAATTCTTCGTAAAAAGTTGCCCATATAATGTTTTATTTATAATACTCCATCTTTGATAATAAGTGAGATATTCGCGATTGTCGTTTTCGCAAAATTTTCAGTTTTTGCCGATAGGGCGAAAACAAAAGACGATAGCTGTTCGGAGTTTTCGGCATTAGCATTTTCTCGAAAAACGAGATCATGACATGTAAGCTACTTTTTTTCTATCTCTTTTAGTTTCGGAGATAGCCTATGCGGACATCGAAATTGGGACACCCTGTACTGTTCAGAGGGAAATTGAAATTAAGTTATTTTAAAAAATGTTGTTAATAAAAAGTGTGCGTAATTCAATTTTAAATTAATATTGTTTATAAAAAAATTTGATTGGAATAATAATTATTCATATATCCTCAAAAATATTGATTGGTATACGAGTATACAGCGCTACCTGGTGGAGATATCGAAAATTTTTATTAAAATAATCGACCTCAAATCACATTATAAACAAATATTATAAGAAAAATTTGTTGATTCAAATAATAATTTGTTTTGATATTACCGTGATATACAGGGTGGTTCAGTTTTTAATCGGGAAACTTTACTAGGACGTAGTACTTTCCAAAAAAACACAAGTTTTTTATATAAACATAGGGTCGCAACTCTTTTGTTTTCGAGCTATGAGCTACTGGTTAATATCTTATTTTCAACCATACCTTAAACTTCCCCAGCGATCTCTAAGGAGATGAAATTCACAACCCCTTTGATTTTTTATAACAACTTCTTAACACCATGGAATATTAACATAAAAAAATATGGGTTGTATAGCTTATTCATTATTGGTACTTTTTTATCTCTTTAGTTTTTCCCTTAAAGATAATAGTTTTAGCGTAAAAAAATAAAATATGTTAAATTGTACTGTAAAGCACTGCTATTATTAAAAATTTTTTTTTCTTTATAGGTGGCTATAGAAGTTGTGCACTTACTAGGATCTAGTACTAACTAATTAACACGATTAATTGTGATTTTCATAAGAAAAACCATAAATACGATTAATTGTTGTGTTAAACAATATTAAAAAATTGATACTCTTGCTCAATAACCGTCAAAAATTATTAATAACCAGCAATAATTATGAGGATTCATTGTAAATGAAACTTACAAGTTCTCAGAGCCAACTTTTAGAATAATTTTAGCTAAACATGACGGCACATAGCGGTACATGGCACGATATTTTATTTTTTTACACGGAAACTATTAACTTTAAGGAAAATACTAAAGAGACAAAAAAGTACCACTAAAGAATGAGCTTTACAACCCATATTTTTTTATGTTAATATTCCACAGCGTTAAAAAGTTGATATAAAAAAAATCAAGGGGGTGGTGAATTTCATCCCCTTAGAGGGCGCTGCGGAAGTTTAAGCTATGCTTCAAAATAAGGTCTTAACCAGTAGTACATACGTACAAAGTTTCAAATTCTACGGTTTAGTTACAGCCGAAATACAAAACAAAATGTAAATTTTTTTCTCTACTTTAATCGCTCATAGCTCGAAAACAAATGAGTTGCGACCCTATGTTTATATAAAAAATTTGTGTTATTTTGGTAAGTACTACATCCTAGTAAAGTTTCCCGATTAAAACTGAACCACCCTGTATATACTGTTCTGAGGAAAATTAAAATTAAGTTATTTTAAAAAATATTGTTAATAAAAAGTGTGCGTAATTCAATTTTAA